TATTGTGATATTCAACATCTCCTGCATCACAGCCTGTTCATTGTATGATTGTTATTAAGTGTGAAGGAAAAAGGTATCTGTGTTTACATGTTCACTGAAGAATATATATTAGGCATATTTTGACCATTTTTCAAGTCTGCAGCATTATGCTGGTGATGATCAGGGACTAGAAGTAATTTAGTGCACATTACAGAATTTTTTTTTTGCATTAATGTTTTTGAAGTGAGGTAATTGCACTTTTGTTTGATTTATCGYCATGTGTAAATTAAAACAATATGTAATTAATAGTGTTTTCTGCCACAATCTCTCTGCTTATATCATGGCACATAAACTTTCTATTGAAATGAAACCTAGCTATTTGTTGACTTGTATTGCATACTTGACAGTTGTATATTTACTTGGAGTTTACTGAAGTAAAGTACTGAGTGATAAGGATAATCAACATTCATGGAGACCTTACCTTAGATTTTTGTTGTCATGAAGTGAGCAGTGAACCAGCTATTATTTCTAGGAGAAAAGAATAAAATATTGGACACGGAGTCCAGATAGTTGGCCAGTCTGGAGTCCACTTCAGTGGGGTAGAATGAGAGACTGTGTGCAAAGGTGGATAAATATGTCTCTGTGTGGATATGCTACAGATGGGCAGTCACATAAGAGGCTGCAGTTTATTGAAAAAGAAGATTATTTGTATACTTTTGGAAGAGTTAATCTAGTCAATCTACAACCTYTTTGTACATTACTATTTTCCTACATTACTTCACAAGTTGTTTGAGCAATCAGGCTCCCAAACTCATGGCAATTATCCTCTTGGTTTATAGCTTTCCTTGCATTTAATTACATGATTTCCCACAACTTTGGAAAAGCAGACAGGCTTGAACTGTAAAAATAAAGAAAGCAGCATGGCTTCCATGAGCTGGGTGTAGAAGAGATCTCACAGTCTGCATCCAAAACACCTCCAGAAGCCTTCATGAACATTTAGTGCTTTCACGTGAAAGTAGTCCTAAATACAATGCTTTTTTTATGGCATTTTGGACATGTATATTTCATTGTTTCACAGAAAAATCCATTAAATCAGATCTGCAATCTAATAGAAATTTGTCTAACCTCTGCAATTACTTTAGGTTTATTTTTTTGAATAGCATTTTTGCTATCGGTCAATCTCAGTATTTGTTTAGAAAGATTTGTTTATCTTTTACTAATCAGTAAAAAGAAATCTACAGATTATCATCATTTACTCCTTGGACCACTCAGAAGTTTTTTGTTATGTTTATTTTCCAATGATTCTAAATAACCTGGCACAGATTTTTGTGTTCCAGAAGAAGCTTCAAATATAATTCTGTGCTTTGCAGAGACTTTACAGGAAATGTTGACGTAGTATTTCAAGAATATATTATCTGTGAAATGGAAATTTTGACATGCTTTCATTTTTTCCAGAGACATTCAAAGCTTTAGCAAAGAGCCACRGAACTTACTCTGTCTGAAATATCTTCTGTTTACATATCTTTGAACATTTTCAAATTTCTTATAGAAATTTTTCTTTTTCACACATTTCACTTYCCCATTTAGGGGAACCTCCCCACCCTCATTAAAAAAATCTTCATGTGATGCCRTCACCTATGTTTCCTGTTTTTCTCTCTCATTAGTGCTGATCAAATCCTCAGGGTTTCTTTAGTTTTTCTTTTCTTTTAGTTTTTCTTTTAGTTTTTTAGTTCTTTGGTTTTCAACAGCTACAAGAGAAAGGCCTGTCTATTAGAAGATGCATCCAGGTAGCATTTATGTATCTTTAAAGGGTTTTGACTCAGACTGACTTATAACAACTATTTGATTGAATTACATACTGAAGAGCTGCTAAAGTACAATCATTTTAATAGCAGGTTATTTAAAAAACAAACATTTGGTGGGTAAGTATACTTAAAAATGGTTGAAATTTCAACATCTCTGATAATGCTTTACTTTCAGATTGTTGTTTTTGTTATAACATTGGTATATTGTTAATGTTTAATGAAATACATTGCCTCGATATATGAACACCTCAAGTATCTTACATTTTATTTAACTATTACTCTCATAATGCTGAAAAGATGCAAAAGAATAATTTTTCAAAACCAAGCACTTGTGTGCCAAGGTAATCTGTCATRTATTTAGGGATTTAATGGATTTTGCACTTTCATGTGGTTTTATTAAGCTTGTATTATTAACAAATAAGAACATACTTTTGGCTTTTTATGGGTCAAATTATGTGACCTGGATTGTACTTCATCCTTATTAAGTTTTAATAGGAAAGACATTTTGCAAATAAACAATATATAGTGAAATATCAGGTAGAAAGCAAAGTTGTTCCATTTGTTTTTAATAGAGTTGGACCAATGTGGTTTTCCTCCAGTTTAATGTAAGTTAAAAAAATAAAAAGTGTATTTTATTACCAAAATATTCATATTTTATATCCTTACCAGGATAACAGGCTTTATTTATAGAGAAGTATGTTTCCCATTCTACTTATTTTCACAGAGACCTCTTTCTCAGGTTCAGCTCAGTGAATTTTTTGTTCTTTCACTGTATATTGTTATGGTGAAAGGCCACCAGTACTTTCCTGGTCATTGCTTCCCTGTGGAGTGGTATCTTGCCAGAGACTTCCCTGAGCCATGGAAATATGGCACGCAAACACTTCACAAGGACAGATGACAGATATGAACACTATTTCAAGCTTAATTTAGAAAATGGTTTACATTGCCTCCAGTGGCTAAAATGTTAATACTATACATTTGAATGAAACTCTTTTGTAGATCATACAGAATTAGACTTCCAAACTCACTTTATCAAACTCAAAGTAGAAGGACCCTGTTGCCACTCCTAGGACAAAACATTCCAATGTGTAGGCAGTGTGGGTAGACAACCACAAGTGTTCCTGGACTCCAGACCAAGCACTGACCAGTGAACCGGTTTTGTCTCCCAACACCAGATTTCTGGGAGCCTGCACACCTTGGTGCTGAGTTGATGTATGCTCATCAGAGGATAGACTCAGACTCAGAAATTTCAAAGGAGAATGCCATTCACCTTCCCTTTCAGACACACAGCTTCTCTCCTTTCCCCAGCTGCTCCATATTTTTTGAATGGTAAGGTCAGCTCAAGCAGCAAGGCATCTTGCTACCAACCCTCCTTCATATGAAAACTTCTTCATATAAGAGAAATCCTATCAGCATCTTTTCCTCTTTCCTTCTTTCTCTGTACTGTACTCATATAGTATTTCCAGTAAATCACAATCATCCATGCATTAGAAAAAATGCAGGGGTCACATTGTATATGGTTTGGATGTTAATTAGAACTTTTTGAAATAGTGGTTAAAGGAGATCTCCTTTAAGTGTGTTGCTTTCAGCACTAGGTTTCCACTAGATCTGACAACATTAAATGAAATATTTAGTTTATAACCATGTTGATGGTTATTGTATCTATCTTCCAATCTACAAAGCTGCTTAAAAATTATYGCTAAAGGCTGATTAGTTGTATTTGCAGTCCCTTAAGTTCAAGAGTATTTATTTAAGATTTTTTATTTTGCAACCATAAAAGACAGCTGGGAAGAACAAAGGCTGCCTGACTATAGAGAGATACTTGAAAAGGATGTTTGTACATTTCCAGTTTTGAAACCAGTGTGTTCTCACTTTTTGAGTTGAAATGGCTGATCTTCCTCATACAGCACTAAACTTTCTATTTTTCATGGTATTATTTGGTTATGATTCTTACTGTACAGAATAAACTGAGGCAAGAAAGACACAGCAGATTTTTTTTTCTTCATATCATCCACTACGTAACTCCAAAATTATGGTTCATTTTTTTATTTACAGCTTTTGATATACCAACCAAATCCAGGAGTAATGAAATCAGTTCCATGAACAGACTTCAGGGCTTAAGCTCTTCCATGGTTTTCTTCTTGTTTAATTTTTTGAGGCTTGAGCAGGAAGTGGCCCGTGAGAAGCTTAATGCAGGGTATTTTTCAATTATTTTAAAAGACCAAATTCTTCAAAATTTCCACAAAAAAATGTAGAGGACAGCAATTTTATGTCCTATTTTCTTGAAGAGAAAAGAAAATCTAGTGTTTGTATGCTAAGTAGAATGGCAGTTTGAGAGACAAATACATCATAACAAGACTACTCTATTTTGAAGAGATCGTCTTCTCTTCAAATAATTTAACCTCTTTCACATTCCTGCTTTTAGGCATTATCAACAAACTATGCCAAATTTTGTTACATGCTGATTTGTCTGTGAATATTTTTTTCTATTAGGGCATAGATCTAAGACCAAACTCACTTTGTGAAAGTGAAGAACATGTTTATAAAAACATAACACCAAGATGGTAAGAGTAATCACATTTATCTGATGGCACTTAGTACAATTGTTAACCCAAGGAGCTCTATGGTATGTCTTCTTATGGTATTTATAGAAGAATAAATGAATATTTCTGACAGAGAAAGTGACTTCTTACAGTCAGTAGGGGATGGCAGAGTATTCCTAAGCTCAGAATGAAGTTTCTAGTTAAGTTGAGTGTTATAATTCTAATGGGAAATGTAAAATAGGTGAAGTGATACTGAATGGAGCTGTAAAGATATCCTGCTTTATTAAATAGATATATTAAAATAACAGGTGGCTAGCTGTGTAACATTTCTGCCCTCTGGTATATATACAGGATATATATGGTCTGTATATATACATATAGGAATATTTTTGAACTCACCTTTCTGAAACAGAATGAGACAGAGAAAATTATGACCAAAGGAGAATTTTAAAATGCAAAATAGAGAAGGCTTTGTGTGATAATACTTTCTACTTTAATAATATATTTTGCCATAGTTTTTAAACATGTTTTAAAAGCAAGACCCATTTCTTCCAAATACCTCTGTATTTATATCATTGAAGTGTGTTGTCAAATTGTAGCACGTGGAAATTGATATGATGATGTAGCACCAGGATATTGAACAAAACTAATTTTTTCTTTCTCAATTTTTAAGATCCAGATTTTAAGGACCTTGGCGTTTTGAAACCATTGCCAGGTTGGTATGTTGTTTTTTTTCAGAATTTTTGGAGGCCTTCACATTCTGCTGTAGAAAATAGTTTTGTTTGCTGTTCAGGTTTCATTTTTCTGGTATTTTGTTATTCAGTTTGTGAGTTTGAGATGGGAGGACCTGAAGGAATTGTGGAATCTGTGCAAATTGTCAAAGAAGGAAAAGCTTCTGAAACTGAAGCAGTAGACTGTAAATGGTACATCCGAGCACCACCCCGATCCAAGGTCAGTCTTTCATCCACTTGCTGATTTGCCACTTAATTTAAGAAATTGACTTTTCTAATGTGGTGTGCATTTCTTAGTACAGACAGATCTTGCTTAATAACTTTACAGCCTGAACCTGTAAACCACTTTTTCCTTCTGCTGTTGAAGGGTAATTTGTCACCTCAGCCAAAGTAACCTTTCTGTATAAATAATGTTGTGGGCAGCATTAATGTAGTTTTGTGCCATAAGTAATTTGCTGGAACTCATCTTTAAATTCACTCATATTTTAAAAGAATCAGCATGTTACCTGAGAGTTAAGCTTATCACTTTATTTTTCAATATATCTCAAATATCTAACAGACAATTTAGGGAATRGTTTTGCTTCCCTAAGGTCATCATCGTTTCCCATTTGTGAACTGCAAAAATAAAACCAAGGTAAATTTGAATTCTTTCACACAAGGCCTTGGGTTCCTTTRTTTCAGAGGCACTAACAAAAAGCAGTGGTGTTTTTGTTTTTCTCCCAGGAGTCATCAATACATGTCTCTGTAACAAGCAGAAGGAGAAGAGGGCTCCAGTCAATCTAATGATTCTTTTCTTGGATTCTGTTTGAGTTGCGCTTGAGTTTCCCACAGTTTATCAGTCAGTGCTTGGATTGCTAGCTGCTCTACCATTTCTCCTCCTTTGCAATTGGAACAGCTTTATGCCTCCCACCTGCTTTCATCCATTCTACTAAAGGCAAATCCAGAGTGTATTTTTACTAGCTGTCTTCTATTCCAAAAGAAAGGTTTTGCAAACCAGGGCTTACATATCCATCCATCTCTGCAGCCTCTAAGGAGATGTTTCTTTGTGTAATTCCAGAACAGAACATCTGACTGCTACAGGAAGAGCTTCCAGAAAAGAAAAACTGATTTCTTTATTTGTTTCAGTATTTTTCTGTTGTGAAAATTAATAAATATAACTGTATGAATATCTGGCTCATAAAGGATACAAATGCAAATTATTTCCAGAATATTCTTTAATCTCTCTCTTTTTTTTTTACTTTTGAATATATGCAATATTTCAATTTCAAATTTCAAAGTTTTCAATTAAATAGGTGAGGTTTCTATTCTGCTAGTGTTAGTTATAAATGGGATGTGGTTGAACTAATGAATAATTATTGCAATACTTGATGTAAGTACATGGATAAGGAAGGTTAGTAGGTGAGAAAACAGATAAACACATAAAATCTTACTATCAGCACAATTAAAGAAGTTGATACTGTTGCCTTATAATTTCCTTCACAGTTTGTCAGAAAACATTATTGTAATGTTCCTATTTGATCTAATTCTGAAGTTCTACGTGATGCAAAGTTCTGATAGAAATCCCATATTTGCTTCCCATGGGACTTTGGTCTTGATGTAAAAATACAAATTAATGGAGGATTAAAGAACTTTTAGTTCTTGATGAGCTTCTATATCTGGATTTAACTATGTTTTATCTCAAAAAAGTATGGATCAACTGAAGAAGATCTAGAAAAGAGCAAAATGAGACCATTGTGGAAAACATGACAAAAGACTCACAATTATTTAATGTGGTGTAGAAAATAGATTGGAAGACGTCTATTGCCAGACATAGYATAATAAAAGCTTCCTAGAAAAGGATGTTCAGATGTCCTTCTATAGGACATTCAGGACTGCAGGAAAAGTCATGGTCCTGCATTGCACCAGGAAGATTCAGTTCAGATATTAAAGGGAAAAAAAAAAAAAATCATACAGCAAGAAAAGCACTGTAAAAGACTGGTAAAGGAAGTGTTTTCAGTCAGCTTTGCTAAATAATCTGTAAGAGCAGGTTTGACAAATAGCTAGGATCAGAGAAATTAAACAGATCCTACCTGTAGACTGACAAATGGGCTGTGTCATGTTCTGTTGCTGCTCCCACATTACATAATTCCCTGGATAGAGAAACAGGACACTATAAAGGCATATAAATAATCCTAACATGTGGAGGAAAAGCCACAAGTGATGAAAACTATGATTCAGCTTAAACATGAAGCTTCAGTTTATGTACTTGAATGTTTATAGTGTGCTTTTCCTATATATTTTCTTATATATATATCTATACAGTATACATATATATGTAAATAAATATATTGAAATATTTCATACTATGAACATTTAAAAAATAGATTTTAAGGAAAAAAGTTGCAAATAAAACTTAGAGAAACCTTCTATGAAGTAGTAGCTACAGAGAGAATGTTTATTGGTCTAATTCTATTGCACGAGAATCTCTATTTTATAAGTCTTCTTTTGTATGTMTCTAACCTTGAGCTGCTGGCATACTCATTGTAATAATTCCATGACCTCATTCTAATTTATGGCAGTTTGCACCTGTGAGAACAGGCGACTCCCCAGCTAAGAACAGTAAGAACTCAACAGCCGTCTTTATCTCCACATGCTCCTGTGCTTTGGGCTGCACAATTTGTTACTGGGAACTATGCCTAAAAGACCTGAGTTTCTCAGGCAGAGATTGGGTTGGATCTTTGCATCTTTAGTTTCTTAATTAGACTGTGCAATTTCATTTGGCTTTATCTCATCCAATCTAAACTTCTGTAGAGGCAAGTCCTCTCAATGCTTTGCAATTGCAGATTCAAGCCAAGTCTGAGCTCAATGTATAAGCAATGAAATCAGACAAGGAGTCTGAATTTGATAGCTGTAAGCCTGAGCTTTAACCTGACAGTCTGGATGTAACATTGCTGCTAAGCTCAGCAAGTTGGAATGGGACAGAGAAGGGAAAATTCCTTGTACATGCTTTAAATACTGAGTCATCACTGACCACTGTATACACAAGAAGCAAAGTGCTGAAATTGCAGGGAGAACTGAAACTTTCTGAAGTGCAGAAGACAACAGAAGGCAGTTTAAGAATTACTGCTTAAACACTCCATTTGCGACCCTGGAATCTTATTTTTGACAGTGACTGTTTCTGAAGTATGCATGTGATTCATTTATTTTTTCCAAGTCAGTTCCTGATGAGTAATATAACCATGAACTTGGAGCTCAGAAATACTTCACACAATGTCAAAATGGATTTCCATCAGTACAAAGTAAGCATGGAAAATGAGAAGAGAGCTGCCGACTTAATCGGGGAATACCAGCCTACCCAGTGCCTACCTAGAAGGGCTGTTCTAAAATTCATGGTCCTTCACTGTAAAAGACCAGAAGAGGAACTAGATAAGCTTATTGTATTTGACTTGAATAACTTCAGAGATATCATTGGATAAGCTTATTGTACTGGGACATTAATAACTTCAGAGATATCCTGGCTRCAGTAGTGGAAGCAGAAAAATCCCTTTGTCTGTATATAGACAGAAAGGAATTTAAAAGAACAGTAGTGTTTTCTTCTTGTCAATAGAGAATGAAGTCTTCTAGCAGGATAAAACCAACAACAAGAATTATTCTATTTTGGATGTGTCAACAGAGTTCTGGCAAGGAGCCTTAGGAAAACAGGATACACATTTATATTCATTTAAGACTCTATATTATAGCAAGCTATAATGTGTGTGGCCGCCGAGAAGTTTAATAGAAAAGAAAGAAAAAAAATTTTGAATTTGACGGTACAATCAACAAAACATTTACAGAGATGATGTTTTGACGTTGGGAAAAATAATAAGAGTTTATAATCAGAAGTTCTGGGCAGCCTGAGAAAGAACTGCCAGATTACAGATGGACAAGTAATATTTTGAATTCCCTCTAGGGGAAGGGACTATCAATCACTTATCACCAGTTTCAAAACAGGCTGCCCAGTTTCAAAACTGTGTCTTCTTATCCAACCAAATGGAGAGGCAATATTTTCTATTACAAACACCTGATTTGCAAATTGAATGTAATCTTGAGAGAGATTTGGTGGTTCTACAGGCATTTCCTAGACTGTTATTGAAAAAAAATACAGTGAAGCAAATTCCAGAGCTACCATTGTGTGTAAGTCAATCTAAAATAAAATATATTTTGTTCTCATGTGGAAATTGAAGCTTCATGTTCTGGAATGACACCTACAAGAGTTTAAGCTGTCAGCACTAGACTAGCATAGTTTTTGGAGGCTTCTTAATTAGATGCAGAAGAGAAACTTTAAGTAGTATACTAAAATGTAATGAGAGGCATTTAGATGGTGATTCCTGAAATGTTACCAGGAAATAGGAGTAATTTAGAGACTGAAGCATATAAGAACCTGAGACATTTTGCACTGGCTTCAAATGAGCTCTGCTTTTAAAGAAGTGTTTGAAGTTTGCTCACATCAAATACTGTAAATAATATGAATTTTTTATATATATATATATATATGTAGCATAAAATTGGCTCTTGGGAATAGACTGGACAAATTGTTTTTAAAGAGGCAGGAAATGATGTTTTAGCTATGTTAGGCTGTTAAAATCACTTGGAAATAGTTTTCTAAAATGATACTGCAAACCAAACTATTGCCTGTGTAGACTGTCTTCTAGCAGAAGCTGATGTACTTGGTAGAATAACACTAACAACAAACCAGTGTTAAGGTAATGTGAAGCTATGCCATTCTGTTTTAAAAGTAAATAAATCTCAGCATCATCAGTTCAGTCAGTTGTTAGGAAATGAAATAAAAAAGCTGCCTATAAAAGTGATTAAAAAGTCTAACAGAGAATGGCAGACTCAAAATGGAATTTACATTTATTAGTTTGGAAAAACATGATAGCACCTAAAAGCTGTAAAGGTTGTCACTTACCAACGTTTTGCCACCATTCAAGAAAAAAAATAGTGTCTCAGGGGTTAGAATAAATTTCAGTTGCTGAGGACTCACTCAAGTATAAAGAAATAGCGAGGACAAAGTAGAAAGGTCTAAAGAGTTTMATCTGGCCAGGACAAAAGGTTTTATGATGTCTAAAACTGACACTGAGTCACTGTTTAGGTTAAAGAAGTACCACATGAGGTGGACACCTTAGACAATGTTCTCTAAGCTTCTGTAGAGAGGAAAAGTAGAAGTATGGAATTCTCTGTTTGCATGACATGATCTCCAAC